ATCAGGCATCCTGCACTTCACCTGAGGAGACCTTAACTATCAGAGGTCAGTGTGGTGGCGTTTGTCTTGGCAACAAGAAAATGGGTTAAGTCAAACTGAGATGCAAGAAGATTAAATATTCACAGGGAAGCACCACAGACTGGTACAAGTGACGATGGAGCTAGGGCAATTCCCACTAGCTGATGGGCTAGCTCAAGTTTTACAGTTTATGCTTTCTGGTCAATCCCTAATTGTCTTAATCAAAGTTGTCTCCAGAGGATACTTGACTGGGAGATTTTTTTTTTAATATACATACACACACATACACATACAAAGTCATATAGGTGTAAAAATACATACAAAGTCATGTTTTAAAAAAACTATTACCTCTTTTCTCTCTCCAATATTTATGTTAAAAAAATGCTTATACAGCCACAGGGTAATGAATCACCAACCAATACAATGAGAAGGGCCAATAAGCGATATTACCAAGAGAAGAAATAATTCTTGCTCTTACAGACCTTTCTAGTCTTCCCTGCCATCAGAATCCTCCCTCTCATTAATTAGCAAAATTAATTATCCAGCTTATGAATTGTGGTTTGAAAATAACTGAGCTTAAAGCAGCAAGATTTATTAGCAAAGAAAACTAAAGGTTGGAATAAGCTGATTTTATAGACTTGTTTTCTAAATGGGAAGCATTATTAAATCATCACTATAAAATTAAGCAATTATTTCACTATGACACCAAGTACCACAGAAAGGAAAAACAGTTTCATGTCCTATTAGCTAAATAAAGGTCAGTAGGGGTAAAAAGAAAAAATTAATTTCTAAGAGTAAATACAAGTTGGGAGACATGGAGAAAACCGTATCATCAAGGGGTGACATTTTCCTCTCTTCTTTATAAATATCTCTTAAATTTCTTTTAATTACTAAGATGGGAGGACCTATTCCGTACTATCCTCTATCATTCACTAGTAAATAATTATTGCTTTTATTTAGGCATTTCATATATAGAACTTATACAAATGACCTCAACTGAGTATTTAAATTATACAAGTGTGAAATATGCTGTAGCTCAGAAATAAAATCACTCATCTACCCTTAACTTTGACTCAAGGGGAACATTACTGAGAAAGTCACAACAAGGTGGCATCCTTAATACATAATAATGACACATGCAGGAAATGCACCATTATTTATACATGTGACGTGCTGTAAATTGCTTCCATCATCAGAACTAATTGTAGTGATTATTAATGCAGTGTTATGAACTGTCAGAATTGCTGTATGTAATTACATTTGTGCAAATGCTTCATTACCTGCCTAATGAATTTGGCATATATGCACATGTAAACCACTGTTTTTGTTAACATAATGAAGGGCATTTTTTTCTGCCCTTAGCTACTGATGTGGAACTGGTTTGACCTATATTACGAAGTTCAAGCATCCACTGCCAGAAACGCCGCCCCACTTTGATCTGGTTTATTCTCATACTCAGGAAAAAGCATCATCTAATGCCTGCAACTTAAATAACAGCTTCAGGGAAAGAACTGCGTCCCCCTTCTTCATTATAAACAGCCGGTTGGCTTGAAATGACCTTGGCGTGTCGTTACCTGACCACTACTTCTTGCCTTCATAAGGGTCTCTAAACAGTCGCAGAGGACAGCGATGCAGACGGCGAGATCTCCAGCACCGAGGCGGTACCTCCCGTTCCAGCCCCGAGGGCCAAACGTCAGCCCCCCAGCGAGGCGAGTGTGAATACAGCACAGAGGGAAAAGGATGCTTTTAAATTCCCCTTCTCCGGTGCGCGGTTCAAGGGTAACCTGCCAAAGAAACAAGGAACACATTTACCCCGTTAACAGCCAGCCGTGCTACCGGCAGCGGTGCCTGCCTCAGCGGCCGGAAGGGAGCACTCGCAAGCCTGGAGTTTGAAGGAGAGTGAGAAACAGGTTTCTCAGTCATCAGTGACTATTAGGCAGCATTTTCTGCAGTAATTCCCAGATGCAAAAGCGTTGACGGTTACCTTTTTATTTCCAAATGTCCCTTAGGAAAGGAGAACTCTTGTGCTACTGAAACCAACAAAAATAGAGACTTTAGCTAGAATTCTATAAATACGACTCAGATAACTGCTCTAATTTCGTAGCACAAATCATCCACAGACTTTATCCCGAGTAGAAAATTTGCAGTTTAACATTTATTAAAAAGCATACAATTCCTTCAAATTTTACACTGTTTCCCAAAGAGTCATGTTTGAAATTGAAGCTTAATAATTTTTTTTTTTGCCTCCTTTGTTTATAACGGTAGTAGAGAAGCTCGCCAACATGAGATTCTGTGCAGGGCTTCAGCTGGTTTTTAAATTATCGAGACAAACTGTTTAGCATTTTTCTATAAAACCTGCAGAAATTCATTCTTAGTTCTCTGACAGTTTTCTATACTCTATCTTTTAGTTTAAGAAGTAATTGACATAACAGCTTTTGATACCCATAAAAACATAGATGCGTGGAAGTTACTTCAGGGGGATAAACTCTTGGCTGTCAAAAGGTCACTCTGAACTGAGCAACAGGTAGCAAAGCCTGAGCAAAGGTGAGGGAATTTATGTCTGACAAAAAACCCACCTTAAGTCAGAATCCTGAGTTTAACCATAAAAAACACAACACAAGCTTCTATCCTGAAGAAAACCACAAAACAAAATTTACTCCACTTGGATTAAGGCATAATTTGATTTTCTTTTTACTTTTTTTTTTTTTCCAAAGAACTTAAAACACCTTAACCAGAAACATATTAAAGACAATGTCTGCACAGGAATTTGTAGTAAGCCGCAAACGCCCATGGGTCAAAATAATGGGGGAGTTTTCTAAAGTATCAAGCTTAGAAATTAGCTAATTAAAATACATACATACATATATATATTTCTTGAACTGAACATAGCCTGAAGTGAGACAACAATGTATATGAATTGCCTTTATTAAAAACTTTGACTAGCTTTTTCAGCTTTCCATTAAAAATCTTATTTTAATAAGTTATGAAAAAAAGAAAAAAAATGGCTGCATTAATAGTTGTCTGTTTAGCTACAAAATCACAGCCATTCTTCCTTTCTCACAAGTATCTTTCCAAATTACCTCATACCATCAAAATCCACCCATTTGTAGCCAAGGTAGCTTTGACACGGCTTTTCGTGCATGGCTCTTTCTTTTTCTAGGCATTGGTTAGCAGAGCTCCCTTTAAAATAAGCTCTTACCCCTTTCACATCTGAGCTCTGCCTTCACGTGTCCTGTGCTCACATAAATACATGCTATTACACTGCTGGAAGGCTAAAGCGTACAGTTTCGGTTGCCTTTGTCATGGTCTGCATTGCTGACGCGAACAATTTTGCTGCTCCAGCGCTTTCACAGCGGTGGGAAGTTGACTTGCACCGAGCTTGAAGATGTCTGTCTACAAGTACCTCGGGGTAACAGACCAGGATAACCATGGATCCGGAGGGAAGGAGGCTACGCACAGTGACCTCCAGTGACCTCCCTGTCCTCCACATTCCACGTCGTCTTCTTTTTCCCACCCACCAAGCAGCTCTGCAGAACCTCACACAGGGAAAGAGCGACAGACAAAACAACAAGAGCATGTAACCCCTGCTCATGAACTCCTTTTTTTATGCCTATCTACAGGAACTCATACATAGGGTACCGAGCCATTGCCTGAACATCTGGGTACATAAATCGACTCTGTAGGAGAATGGACACAGTCAAACCAAATTTCGGGCTGAGCCAAGTTAGCGACTATCACTGAAGGGAACAGCTCCGACTTCAGAGCATGGGCAGTTTTTTTCTAAGACCGCACAGGGGGGTAAAGCTGGTGCGATAAATGCACTTCTCTCTATCTTTGTAAGCACACCCATGCAAGTCTCTATCTAGACGTTGAAGAATACAAGCGTACACATTATTGTCATGTGCTTCCTCCTGCCCAGCTTCGATAGGAAACACGGAGGCAGCACAGGGCACGGAGGGCTGGCACCCCGCAGCTCTCAGCTTAGTTTGGAAGCACAGAGATCCCAAAGTTCTGCTCTCCTAAATAGCAGTCGTCAACATTATCACTTCTCACCACGGGGTAAAGGAGTAATTAAAACAAATTCACGAAAAAAAGTACATCTTGCTTTTACCTGGTCAAAACTGTAGAGTGCAGCATGTAAATTAGCCAGCATCCCTGTACGAGGTTCACTGGTAATTTTAATGGAGTTTTCTGGTATTCCTCGAGGAATGATGTGCTCTTCTGGGGTTGGAGCTGGTTCAGCACTGATAAAGACATGGAAATCAGGATGACTTTCTTCACTGTATTGCTTAAGGAGTTCCTAGCCACTTGGCTACTAGATGAATATTCTGTTGAAAAATGGCCAATATGTTTATTATGAGAAAACAAATACATTTCTTATCCTTAAGACATTGTTATACTGTTATATAAAGCCACATATTGTGGCTTTACAATAAAAAATAGCTAGAGTCACTTAATCCAACAAATTATTATTAAATAAATTGATTATACAAAGAATAAACTTGAAGATTCTTAGCTACTGTGCCATTTCTTGTTATATGTTGCACTAACAGGTTCTACTATTAGCCTCTAAAGTTTCAGGCCTTGATTCTGAAGCTAACAAAAATAGAAACTCAGGGTTAAGTGATCTGGGGGTGTGGGTGTTACCCTCTGTAAAGATAAGCATAATTCAGTAGAACACTTGGACTCTACTTAAATTCCCTGTGGAACTGGGACCTAAGAAAAACGATGTCCAATGCATACCAAGAGTAAGACTGAAGAAGTGCTAGACAAAGAAAAATGTTTACAGCTATCCTACTACTTCGAAAAAAAAGTTTCATACCACTTCAGATTGTCTTTAAGATTCTTAATATATGAAGACAATGGAAAGTCCTTGATAGATCAGAGAAATGAGTTATAACGGAACAGTATCTGCCTCCAAAAGCACCTGCTAGTGAAATACGGGAATATCAAGAGAAAGGTTTACAGTGTGGCTCGGTTACGCCTGCTTTCACCCCTCCACTAGCCCACACCCCACTTTTTTGTTACAGAGCTAGCATTTCAACTCAATTGCAGCTCAGCCCTACAGCTTCTCTCCGGCTCTTCACTGCTGTGCCAGAAACTGCTGATTGCACCGGCTTCCACTTCCAAGCAGCGCAAGAGGAATTGCAACTCCACGCACCAGCCAAGGAGTATGACATGTCAGTCACGCTCTGGCTGCTGCATCGCTTTATCATGAGACCTGCTGAGGGGATATTCCCAAATCGTCCCTCGACACGTGGAAAAAGGAATAGGGGGATGGAAAGAGAGGGAAGACTTTCAGATCGCATTACGCGGTAGCAGCCTGGCGGTGCCTGCATTTTCATACAGGCTACTTCCATCCACTGCAAAGTGGAAGTGATTCAAGCCTTAATATAACAACAAAATAACCATTTAATATCTCAGATGTCCGAGTTTGAGAAACTAACGTGAGAGTGACACAGGAGTTAAACCTGCTACCCAAAAATTTCAAGTCAGTCTAGAAACCCCTATGCCAACTGCTTTTGCTACCATTTTTCAGACCTTGCATTGTTTACTCCACAACATACTTGTCCTACCTCTTGCTCTGTCATCTTCTGGACTTCCCTCAGCTTCACCTCCAGCAGGAGTTTTGCACTAAGAGCTTGACCTCTTGTTGAGGTCAGTAAAAAATTTCCTCCCTGCTTCAAGGGCATAGTTCTGAAGCCAAGGCAATTTCTTAGGTATTTCCCAGGTTAGTCGGAACAGCAGGGCTTTTAAAGTATCTAATGATACACCCCATAGCCTCCAACAAAATGCATAATAAAATACCTCAACTTTTTGCTCCAGGGTTTTTTTTAAACATAAACATAGAGGTATTTGGTCCAAATCCCAAAAGACTGAAGCCTGAGAAGCACCAAGTACATCCAAATCCCACTAGCTCTAGCTGGCTTAGCATCATTTCAGATTTGGTCAAAAATCTTTATTTAGTCTCCTTTCAGACTTTCTCCAACACTTCACTATCAAAAATCTTCACAGCAAAACTGTCGCCTCCCATCTCTCTCAGAAGCCAGGCATAATGGGCTGGAAAACAGAGCAGGTCTGAAACACCAGAAGCCTCTCAGATGTTCCCCATTTATCTCTGCGGCTTCAGACACTCAACGCTGCTGCTTCAGGGCTTCCGCCATCTCCCATTTTCTCACCTTGTCCTCAGAGCAGCTCAGAACACCAAAATTCCCCTGAAAACCAACTCTGCTCTTTCCTTCACAACATTTCTATACTCACTAGCAGAAAAGCAGGGTTATTTTCAGACTAGTGTGACTAGCTTACTCGTGTGACACCTGGTTAAAGATTTCTTCCAGCTCCAGTGTCGACGAAGGGGCCAGTTGGTGCGTGTGTGCACGTGCCTAGCACACCCAGGCCCCTCACTAATCTCATGATGATTTTCCTTCAGCCGGCAGACAACACTGAGTCTAGCCCATCTCCTCATTTGTTGCAGGCAACCGGGCTGACAGCCAAATGTATACGTTGCTGAGGTTAAAACCGGAAGAGGAGGGAATCATCTGGTCCCCGTGACCTCCTTAATATGATGGCCTGGAACACGCGTTTCTTCTTTGGCTTCAGGGCAAAGGGATTGTTATAAATATCCACTGGCTATTTAGCATAAAATGATGGGAGGTGTCCTGGTTTCAGCTGGGCTAGAGTCAATTTTCTTCATAGAAGCTAGTGTGAGGCTGTGTTTTGGATTTGGGAGGAGAAAAATGTTGATAACGTGCTGATGTTTTGAGCTGTTGCTGAGCAGTCAAGGACAGTCCAGCTTCTCGTGCTGGGCTGCCAGGGAGCAGGCTGGGGGTGCACGGGGAGCTGGGAGGGGACACAGCCGGGACAGCTGACCCAGGCTGGCCAAAGGGATATTCCACACCATATGACGTCATGCTCAGTATATAAAGCTGGGACGGAGAAGAAGGAAGGGGTGGAGGGATGTTTGGAGCGATGGCGTCTGTCTTCCCAAGACACCACCACGCGTGATGCAGCCCTGCTTCCCTGGAGATGGCTGAACTCCTGCCTGCCCATGGGGAGCGGTGAATGGATTCCTTGTTCTGCTCTGCTTGCGTGTGCAGCTTTCGCTTTCTTTACTAAACTGTCTTTATCTCAACCCATGAGTTTCCTCACTTTTACTCTTCAGATTCTCTCCCCCGCCCCACCGGGGGGGTGAGCGAGCGGCTGCGCGGTGCTGAGCTGCCGGCTGAGGCTAAACCACGACGGAGGGAAGCACCTTCTTTCAGCAGCATTGACACTTGTGGTGCTCCCGTCCGCTCCGTCGAGGCGCTGGGGACCGCAGCTCACCAGGGTATTGCACAGATCTTTTTGTCTGCTGCAGAGTGGCTTCTTGGTCCATATAACGCTGGCCAAAGCTGCGGCTGCTATCTCGGAGAGCAGCTAATTATATAGCTTCCCAAGGGGGAGTCAGACCCATTTTATTAAAGCCTACATTATGGCCCACTGAACGGAGCAGGAGCTCTTAATGATGCTGGGAAGTGTATGCCTGAGGGCAGTCCTACCTACCCACCAGAGGCTTTCTGTTTTATCTCTACTATTCCTCCTGGAAGGGTGAGGACAGCGTTCAGAAAAACATGACATACACTCTATTAATATGATGTTTATCCTGCTACTATCAAAAGAAAAAGGGACAAGATTATTAGCTATTTAAAACTTTTGCTGTAATCCACCACATATTTTGTTTGTGTTCTGGGAATATCCCTCCAGCTGTCCTCAGTCAGTCCCCACCAGAGGGGCTGCTTAACGCTCCCTTGGGGAAGAACCCAATGGCCATGTCTGGCAGCCTTCTTGAGTGCCTCCTCTGCGACCATCTTCTGCCCTTGTCCTAAAGAGGTGTTATGAAATCTTCCAGAGTCTATACCGAACCCAAGCTTTTTGCCTGTAAAAGAAGTGATTGGGGAAGGGTGCGTGACAGAGGGGGAGGAGATAGGAAAATTAGCAGAGCCGAAAGGAAAAAGAATGATAATATCCCCGTTAATTTCACTATCACTTGTGCAACGCATATTACTTCTTCTGAAGCACTTCACTAAACCCTTACAATTTCAACAAGCAAAATTGCGAGCTCTCAACAGTGGCCTTATTGCTGGTATTAGAAAAAGCCTGCAGAAATCTGTTCCCCTGGTTTTAAGATAATGAACCTTTTGACATTTTGATAGATGCTCGGCATTGTTACTGAGCTTTAGAAACTCTTACAGGGGGTACAAAGCAATTCCCTCATGAAAAAGGGAGCAACATGTGGTAGATATCACATCAGTTTTTTAACTGATTGGTTCAGTGGGTAAATGCACAAGCCTCTCACCTTGTGAGGCCCGAGTTTAAATTGAGCACAGTGAGGTCACAGCTGTATTAACCTGGTATTCTCACCATTGTCTGTGGGGAATAGTAATCCTAAATATAAAGCCACAGAGCCCTATACAATTGAATATAGTTTGTATAATGACCATTATTTAGTCACAGGGGGCACAAGATTACATGAGAATGGAGAAAATTGCCCTCTGGCCCTCATCTCGTCAAAAGGTAGAAAACAGTACAAAGGAAACCTGCATTATGCCGAGCAGAGGACTGCTCGGTCTAAAAATTTCTTCATACTGTTGTGCTTATGGCCTTACACTTTTCATCCACCCCATTTACCATGAATATGGTGGGGGTGGAAGAAACTTTAGAACTTGAATCTTCTGCTGAAAATAAACCGTGCCCAGCCTTCCCATAGTACTGTGTACTCCATTGTAGTGACAGATGATTCCAGAAGGCTTTTTTCTGTGTAGTAAAAATACACCCATACATATGTGTATGGGCACATACACACAAGCATATAACCGTGTATCAGTTTATCTATGTTTCTAGCCCTGCATGCTCCATTTCACTTTTGAGCTCCATTTTTCTTTCTTTAACGGGAGTGCAGTTGAGTGATCCTTGCACCAGAAGCAAATGAGAGGCTTACCTCAGTATCTTTGAGTGGGTCTACTCCTGGAGACAGAATGAAAAACACAGGAGTGGCTGGACTGCTCTCTTCATACGATTTTGCGAAGTCCATCCTTGTGCTTTCCATATATTTTGAGCCAAGGTTTTCCTTCACAAAGTTCCTATACCTACGGAAAACATACAGTAAACACCAAAAATGTTCCTTAATACAGGCTTCAAGCCTGCACCATTCTAAGACGAGAGTGGGGAGAAGATCGGTAAGTATCCACAACTGAATCTTTCCCGGTATGACGGAATTTAAAGGGAGACCTGAAAAATTGTCATCCCATGGGGTTAGCTACCAGTCCTAATACCATAATGAGACCTAACACTGAGAAATACAGTTTTAGCTCTTAACAGCATAGCTTACTATATTTCCATTTGTTAGTGAGCACTCTCCTCAGAGTACCTATATGCAATCTAAAAGAAACCAGAAGGATAGTTCTCCAAATATGCCGTGACACATGTCTCACCACACCACCTTTTCATAAACTCTTCACCAGTAAAACGGTCTGGGAAGGATCACAGTCATTGATGTCAAATTCTGGTTGATTACCCAGTTCCATAAGTTATTTACTTGCCTCTTAAAATCTGAGTTTTATCTCCGCTGACACATACAAACCACCCTCACACACACTTGCCCCGAAAAACATACCCTCAGATTTCATACTGAGAGTGTACATCATTCTGTCCGGATGGAGTGCCCTCAGTATGATTTGTTTCTGAAGAAAGCTTTTTTTTTTTGTCCATTCCTGGGGAAGCTTTTCTTTTTCTGGACATTCTGAGTCCACCCACTTCTACCTTTTGGTGGATCTTTCAATACCTTTATCTAACCTTCTGAACACATCCGTCACTGCCATAGCCTGGAAGCATGCCAAAGACAGAAATACAGGTGATATACCTTCTGCGTGAAGACTGACATGGGAAGACAAATACTGATACTTTTGGGGGTATGTAAAAAAACACCATAGTTTAATCAATTACCAGGGACTGGGAACTTACCTTAAAATACTAAATTTTTATATATTTTTTATATATATATACACACACACAATATTATTGATAAGAGTTTACTTTGATCAGTATTATCATACTGTCTGGTTACTGTTAAACATCAAGATATGACAAACTGGAAAACTTATATGGGACATTTACTATAGTAAGGAGTGGAATGAAGTTCAAAACTGTATTTTTAGGGGACTGGACAAATTATTGTAAAACACAATGTCCTCACAAAGCACTGTACATGATGTCTATGGAAAAATACACTGAAAAAGCAAAGACAACTCCTCTTTGAAAGGACTAGTTCTACTAAAAATTACGGTGGATGTATGACTTTATCTGAAATTGTCTAGTTGTAGCATGCCTCCAGAAATAACATCAACTGAAAAGCAGTTTTCCCAGCCTACCCTAATGGCACTCCGTGACTGAGTAGTTAAGAAATCAACAGGATTCTTGTAAGTGTGTTCAACTTTGAACTGAAGAAGGAAATCCAATTCAAGGAGTTCTATCCCTTTACTTCTTAGAAGAATCTTGACACAATACAAAATTGAAAAAGGTCATCAGACTTGCTTCAGAGCCACTTCTGCCTTAAAGTATTCACAGCTCAAAGGGGAGCTCAGAGTAACAAGAGTTCCTACAGCTGCATTTTTTGAAACTCTGATATAAGAATTTACAGCTTGTTTTAATGGTATTTTAAAATATCTCTTTGAAATCTATTGCAAATGGAATGATATTCTTAGATATTAGTCACTAAAGGCTACGACTTTTTTTTTCAAAACCATTCCTACAGACACACAGCACTGAACTTTCCTTTACCCATTAAAAAAGACACCATGAAAACCAAACACACTCTGTCAAAACTTTTTGCAGCAAATATAACTGCATTTATATACATATGATTTATAGCTATAATAAATATCTATTATATATTTTTTCATATATATGAGATATATAATACATTTACACACTGAAAAACAAATTCACCCAAATTTTGTGATGAGCTAACCAACAACAGTCGTTATTTTTCTTTAGCTTGTGGGAACATAAACAAACATAAAAGTGTAAGTCTTGAACGCTGAAGTTAAGCTTAGAAAAACTTGGCCACACATTATTTTATACTGATACTACCAAAAAAGTACAGATTTCTGAATTCCATCTAATTATCTCTATGTACCCTTTTTACCTCTTGGAAGACAGCGAGAAGAACAAATAATGCTGTTTCCATCACCATTCTAAGACCTCTTCAGACTGCAAGCTGTCACAAAGCTTTGGGAAATTTGCAAATCCTGAGCGGTTTTTGTTGGATTTTGTTTGGTGTTTTTTGGGGGTCGTTTTACACTGAATCAGGTCTGGCACATGAGCTGAACGTATACTGAAGAAAACTCCTCAGGCACTAGAAGTGGTTTTTCTAGTCCTTTTATCACTTTAACTACATATAGTGAGAAAAGGAGACGCCTTTGCCATACCACCATATATTCTCTCTCCTTTCTGATATAAATACATCTTTCTTCCTCTATTAAAAGCTCTCTCTGTTTCCATATAAAAATGTATTTAATAAGTCAGAAGTTTATTGTGCCTTTTACTCTGTTTTCTGTCTACTCTGTAACTGTGATAGAGCTTGTTTTTCGGTTGCCATACAGATTTCCATTTTTTGTGATCCATCCCAGCACCACTGCTACAGAAAAGACAAAAGTTAAGCAGGGTGGTCTGAATAAATCCATCTGCACTGTGGTGCTGAGAAACCATCACCAGCTTTCCTTCCCCCCCTTTTCCCTCCTTTCTGCTCCAGACATTTCTGTCTGCTTTTAACTCCTATTTATACACTGTGTGGAGTGACTCCTTTTTTCTTATCCTCCCCCAAAGCGGATTCCTCAATTTACAATTTTTTATCTTCTTCCCAAATTGTTGGTTTCTAGTTTAATTCCTACCTCCATTTCCGATCAGCTCTGCAATACAACCTGGAGCAAGCTCTTCAGGGAAAAGCCTGCCACCCAGTACAACCGAGCCCTGATTTTTTCCAGGGCTTACGGATACCAAAGTTAAAAGGAAAAATAACAACCTGGATATGATATGGATATGTATTATTTACCGAATTCTTACTTTACACACCACATCAATTTCAACCCTAATTATCCAACCACAAGCAGCTAAGTCATGCTGTTTTTCCTCAGCGTAGCTTCATAAAATCATTGCAGTATTTTAAGTGAAAAGAATTACATAAAAGCATCTTTGGAATTTCTGCAATTATTATTGATACTGAAGCAGCAATCTGAGAACGTCAGAGAAATTGCACAGCCACAAGGCAACAAGATAACTTGTTGGGGCAGAGGCATCACCTTCTAGTGAAGAAACGGCAAACCCGGTAAATATCAGCATCACTGATCTGAAAAACTTTCCTCACCTGAAAAGCAGTTTGGGCCAAGAAAATGAGCTTGTCCTTTTCAAAAAGTCCTTGGCTTGTGAAAATAAAGGGTGAGTATGTGACAGCGTCTGTCAGGTTAGAGATACGACACTGAATATCCCCTGATTTTTCAGCCTGCTTAATTGCTTTTGGAAGACTGCATTGAGTGCCTGAAAATAAGCACAATTATTTTTATGTATTTGAACTCTGCTTTTTTGCTTTTGTACTCGTAAGATAATCGGATCCTGACTGTAGGCTTCTAAGAGAGCTGACCTAAGCAGCCTAAAATGCAAAGCACTTCTGCCAAGAGGCTTTTGAGGAATCTTTCAGCAACCCAGGGTGAGGGCTGCAAACGGCAATACTCTTCTGCTCCCTTATTTATCTCAGCAGTCAGAACCTCTCCCTTAAGGAAGCTGGTAATTTTGCAGTAGGTGATCTGCCTTCCTCACAGCGTTAGATCATTTGGTAGATTTGCCACAGCAAATTGTTTATACAGAATCCCTCAAAACTCTTCCTGCTTGACCCTGTGGGATGGCTTAACACAAGGAAGGTAAACCACAGACGCCCAGCCAGAGAACACCATCAGAACGGAGACAGCTGCCAAAGACCTGTGGGAATGCACGGCGTCACACACCAGCAGGAGATCACATCGTGTTCTCCTCTCCCAGGCACGCAGCCCTGCAAATGCAAACATCTGGTACGAGGGATAACTAATTTATTGGGCATCACTGCTGCAGGCAGAACTCTGTTCCTTGCCCTTCGCATCCGAATCAGGAAGACGGAATTTTTCCTTCAGTGAAAACTGTCAGAGGGGGTTGGTGCTGCCCAGACTGCTGCTAACACAGTAAAGAACCGACATGTTGTGCTCTCTTGTCACATTAATCTGAACTTCATTTTCTTTGGCTTCAGCTATCTATAGGATGACCGTTGTCTCATTTATTTTTTAATGCACCGTGATTATCCCACACAATTACTACCAAAACATCCCTATCCATACAAAAAAGAATACGGATATACTCTAGAACTGACTTTATTTCAGATGGTAGCAAGTATTTAAGGTAAGCAAGCTTCTTATCTTAGTCAACAATTAGGGAATGACTGTTTTCTGCAGCAATACGCCTCATTTATGTTTTAATGCACCGTGATTATCCCATACAATTACCAAAACATTCCTATCCATACAAAAAAGAATACGGATATACTCTAGAACTGACTTTATTTCAGATGGTAGCAAGTATTTAAGGTAAGCAAGCTTCTTATCTTAGGCAAACATTAGGGAATGACTGTTTTCTGCAGCAATATGCCTGTTCACTTGTGAAAACATGGCAATCGTATACGAATTTATTTGTTCACATTTCATGCTGATACTTATTTCTTTTCAGTACCAACTCATGCACCTAAATCAAAAGGAAAAAAAGAATTACATGACAACTACACACCACAGATATGAAACTGCGAATATGTGGGTGGACAGCACTTACTGGACAGAAAGAAATCTGACTATTCCAAGCTCATAGGAGTATTTCACTAAAGCTAATTAATAATACACATTTTACAGGTGACCTTAAGCTGTTAAAAGCAGCCCAACTGTTGTTACCTTGTGCTGTATTTCTGCTGCAGTTGACTTTGTTGATTTGAGTTTCTCTACAAGTTCACTGTCGTCCAAGAAACTGCCCTGGGCAGCTGACAGGCTGAGCAGCATGTCATCCTCCAGCTGCCTGAGCTCACTCATGAAACGGTTCTGCTGCTTGGCCAGGACTAACAGAGAGAACGAAAAAAATCTTTAAAAAATGCAGCAAAAAATATTGCAGATGCAGAGGAAAATGGCCAGCTGTTTTCAGATCCTGTTCCCAAGTAAATGGCTTTTATTCTTCAAGGGGTAATTAAACACTCTGACCCAGTTTGCCCTTGCGTGAAGCAGGAGTACCTCAAAGAGGTGTAGCAAGTCTTTGCAGATGAAGCTAGTAAATCACATGAGATAACTGGAAAGACACGCTGGAGAAATAGGAAGTATCCTTATTATTAATTTCACACCTCTAAGTATTTTTTCATTTTTTAGCTCATAGATCACAGTCTGCTCAAAGTCCTTTCTATAACCAGCTATAAAAGTGTTTCTCTTCGTAAGTTGCTATACATTGGTATGACTGCAGCAGCCACAGAATTGCATCTCTGCAGGAATAAGTTATGATTTATTAACCAAATGCCCCAGGTCCTAACAGTGCCATCATATCCTCTTATGGACTGGCAAGAAATTTTATTCACACTTATTGGCTCAAGATCGCTGAAGCACAAAGCACTGCAGAGGGCTTTAATCCTACACTGTAAATTAAATACAATGCACAGAGCAAACCAAGCAGTAGAGGGAAGTGTGGGAATAAGATCACAACAAATTTAATTTCTATCAGAGCTTTACGTCAAGCCCATCCCTCTGGGAGCATGGATTTGAGCAAATCAGTAGAAGTACTTTCTAAGTTTTGCAGAATCTGACCCTTAAAATCTTTCTGATATATGGGTTACTAACCATTACTGTACAGCAGATTAAAACAGACGTATTAATGCTAGCCTTAAAATCTCGGAAGGAGCAACGGACAGATCAAAAGATAGTCTTCACCTTACGTTTTGCTAAATCCAGCCTTTCAGCACTAACAACCTCAGCCAACAGCTGGCCTTCCAGCCCGTCCCTGGTGACACTGAAATTAATGAGGGTGGCCTGAGCCTGCAGTTCTAGCTTGTAGTGAGGGTTAGCCAGTTTAGTGTGAAGGATGAGATGGAAATTCTTGTTGAATTCACATTCCATGTCTTCAATCTTGATATATCTGTGAAGGAATAAAATGCACAAGAGTGGGGACCTCACGGAATTAAAAAACCGTAAATATCTTAGATTGCAAAAGATGGGTACTACAAGATCTTGGCAGCATAGGAAATGGATACAAACAAATTTTATGTGCCTGCAGCTTAAGAAACAAAATGAGGATGATTGAAGACACCAAAATTATATGAAGAATGCACAGAGCATTTCTTAATTGGCATAGTTTCATTTGCATATACAGCAGACACCAGTAGATTATTCACTGCTGTACTGAAGAGTCTGTGGCTTAGGGGTAAATGTATCCTTCATTACTTGCCACAAATTTAGGAAAGTTTTCAGACAGCCTTTAATGAGATAGCTGTTAGTTCTTACAATAATTTTCTTAAATATAACTCACTTTTCCATCTTTTGAAATAGATCAGCAGTAAATCCTAAAAAACTAAGCAGGTGCATATATTTATAACAAACTGATAGTGACCAGAGGAGAGAGAAGGGCTGGTGACTGAAATAACAAAAATAATTTTTTAAGGCAACCTACTAAATGTTTTGTTCCAAATCAATTATTTCCTGGGTGAAAGAACGAGGTTCACCTTTTGTTCGCTGAGTAAGATCCCTTACTGAAGAGATGTGATTTCCTGAACCCTTGTCTTCAATGAGAAGCTCCAGCTACTGCTGAAGTACCATTTTGGAACCCCAAAAAAGTGAGGCAACATAAAGTTCACCTTCCTACTTCTATGGCACAGCAACAAAAAAAAATGCAAAGACTGCGTATAGACTACGGTGTGTGCTGTGCATCCGGTCTGGTGTGAGCAGGTGCCACAACTTTGTGCCATCTACTTGCACAGTGAGCAGTATGCTGATTTTCAGCCATCAGCTGTCACACATGAGCACAAGTACAATATTTTCTGTACAGCGATGGCTTTGAATGTTCTTTGCCAAGAAAGGAGATCCAAACATTAGTAACAAAATTCTGTTTAAAAAAAGCCAGTAGAACATTTATACAATGGAACATAGGTAGACACAAACTCTTTTCACAAAATCCAAACTGACATTCGTTAAGTCAAATCAATCTTCAAGGTGACTGCAATAGTATAGATACTAAACAATTAAACTGCAATTCACAAAAGTCACAGCAGAACATGAATAAAACAAGTCCTTTCCATACAAATTTTAACATCTCTTTCTTTCTAGGATATCATAGTGCACTGCCAGAATCACAGAAGTATTTCAGCTCTTAACATCCTTGCCTGCTTCTGACATGCCCTTAGCCAGAAAACATAGGTTAAATGAAATGGTGTGCTGAAAGCACTTCTGCGTTTCATCAAGGATCAGGAAGAAAAGACAGTCACTTACGATATACTGTAAGTGAATTCCTAAAAATAACCTAATATGTCTAGTGCTAGGAAACCCATGACTCTACAAAACTCAACATGACATGTATGTTGCATACTATTGCCATGCAAACTACTAGAGATGAGTTTTCCTGGCTTATGCTTGTATAATAGAGAAATAATTTAGCCATACAGTCATGTCCTTCAGATAACACAACCTTTTTCAGGTGGACATGAACTGACCTTCCAGTTCTGCAACACAGATTGCAATTCTGATACTGTGGTCTCTCCACAACCTTCAAAACTGGCTACAGCTGGAGGGAACAAAACTGTAGAGCTTGACAGAGAGAGGTTAATTTTGCTCTGCTTTCAATGCAGAGCAAAACCACAGAGGAAACGGATAGAAGCAGAGATCTGGCAAAAGACAACTTTTTCAGTTTGATTTGTACGTGGAAAAAACTTTGCTAAGGGAGTCACACTATATTTCAGGTCTACGAGGCGATATAATAAGCTTTAGAGTTCTGGATTCAAGTACTTCATTTATGGGTTCTCAATTCACAGGAGCAATAAATTACCAATTTCTGTGATTATCATCTATGAAAGGCAAAAACTACGTAATGACTCAGTGGGTTTTATTACTGAAGCTATTCTAGGTTTTCTGTTAATTACAGATCTGGGAAAAATAAATGTTTTGTTATTGCTCTCACACGGTTCAAGGAGTATAAGCAACAACGATAAACACAGAGGTGGGGAAACCCGGTAGAATTGCTTAACTTTTTTCATTGCAATGCATCTGTTTAGAGGTTAATCTGGATTCTGAAGAAATGTAGCAGATATAGGCACTATTTATGGAAGTCCATGATAGAAAGTATAGCAAAAAAAAGATCAAAGAAATTACTAAAGACAAGTTCTACTTTTGGTAATTTTTTCTTCATAATCTCCTGTTCCACCAGCAGAAGCAGATTGAATGGGCTGAATTAATGCACCGTTCTATGCAGGAACAGACAGAGCATCTTTCATGTGCGCTCCAGCTCCCTGTTACTTAAGCACATACAAAGTAAATGAAAAAGCGATTGTTCTCCACTAGTTCTTTCCTGTTGAAATTCTCATAGATCTTGAAATAAAGTTGACTAAGGGATTCAAAAGAGATTTGCAAAGCACTTTTAAAATCATGTATAAACTTTGAGGAACAACTGATTTTTAGCAAAAGCAAATATAAAACCAAGTATATCCCAGAAGTTAACATGAGTGCCAAACTCTCAGCTATTAGAAGTCTAGGAATAGTGCAACATCCGGTCTGATCTGCCAAAATCCGAGTTATTGGGACAAAGACCTGCTTCTCCCTTGTGCATGTGCTGCCCAAGGAAACAGTTCTGAGGACTTTCAAAGGCAGGATCTGAAAGATGAAAAATTCTTGAGTGTAGGAACATGACTTCGTATCATGAAGTGGCTCAAGAGCCTACGCAAAAACTTTCCTTAGCAGATACTTTCATGCAACTCAAAATTAAAGAGAGTACCTTTCAGGGCAGACGTTCTCCAGAACATGCCATGCCTCTAAATGGCAGAAAGTAGGATAGTTTCCTGTAGCTAAATGTTTTGGATCAGCTCAGCAAGAATGAAAAGAAGTGATAAATTCTTGGACAGGAAAGGAAAGGGAAACAATATTTTTCAGTGTGAAGAAAGAGGGATAAACACGTTTTCTGAGGGAGCCTTCTTTCAGTTCCTGCTGCTTAAAATTAAAAGCTTCTGGAACCGACTTGCAAATGCAACAAGTAATGTAGAGAACGAGGTTGAATAAATCAGGTGAAAACAAGTGCAGAATGGAGCTGTTACTAGGCAATCTCAGTGGGCAAACTGTGCAAGTTGGTCAAACTAGTCCAGTGGGAAAAGCACTGCCTTAAAGCTGCACAGCTGGTGAGATGTTCGAGGCAAGGAAAGCTTCTCCCTGTGGAGAAACTGAGTGAATTGTCTTGCTGTTTCTTGAATAATAGTCACGCCTGATAAGAATGGAAACTTGTTCATACAAGCTACATTTGCACATAAATCAAATCTCTCATCTTAAAGAAGCTTGCAATAACCTAATCTCGCAACTGAAGAGACAGGACGACCGCTTTGTGAACGTGCAAAGGATTTGAGCAGGTGTCACAAGGCATGCGAATGCAAATAAGGGCCTTATGAACAACGAATTTATTTGTCTATCTTCTCTCCTATGAGTCAAAACGACATTGATGTATTATAGTCAATCCTCATATCCAGTGATCTCCAAAACAGAGGTGCTGGGGAGAACAGCATAGGAAACACACAGATAAAACTCAAAGATTAGAGCCCACCCATACCACACCTATTCAGTGGCATCACTCGCTCCTCGTAGAGCAGGCAAGGGCCAAACCCCAACACTGTGTAGAACTGGCACTTGTTTACTTTTACGTCTTGATTTTTCCGCTCCAGAAAATCTTAGCACGTGCATTTTGAATCAGTTTTCCATCCATTGCTAATAAGTTGCACCCAGATTTTACTTACTTTGTTCCTTGTGCCTGTCATGCTTACATAAAGCTACGTACTACAACTGATATTTTTTTGAAATTATTTTATTCTCTTTTCTCCCTTTTCTTAAAGAAAATATCCTAAAATATTGTAATAAAAATCTTAGCATTTTGAAGCCATTTTGAACATAAGGTCACAGTCTAAAGTGTATTAAGATCCACTGAGCAGGTTTGCATCTCCAAAATTAAAATTACAAAAAATATCCAAGCTTGAACACCTAAAACTTATTAGGCTTCTAAATACATACTGAGGCACTTCAGCAAGAAGTCTGATTTTCAGAGATAACAAGTACCTGTAGTTCACCCTACAATCACCCACGTTTTGAGAAAAATCTAAATTTATACATATACTTGAAGTTCTCTGAAGCTGAGAATTTGTTTTGCAGGCTTCATTCAGAAACAATACCCGAAGCTGGCGTTACAGAATATCCAAGAGTACAATATAAGAACAATCTTGGCAAGGAAGGGGAGATATACTTTTATGAAGCTGCTTCACACATCAGCAAGTTCTGTAATATGCAGGCTAGTAAATTTGCTTTGGAAGGAGTACAAGTTGATAAATCTCCCTTGCTATGCTTTCTGTCGATTGATATGATAAGATATATTTTACTTAAAATTAGGATTGTCTGAAGCTCAGTGGATTTAATTATTTGTAATTATCCAGTTGTTGTCAGTATGTGGCCATTTTATGACAGTGGTATCTACTGTGTGGGTCAGGTTCAACTGTATATCTTTTCAAACACAGAATTAATGTACTATTGATGAAACCATTACTAGAACCAAATTAAAGTCTGGGCTGATGTATTGGTCCACAGGGTGCTGTCAGACATGAAAGGAGTAATTAGTATTCATTACTTCGTACTCTGCAACATTCCAATTATTAATGAACTTCAACTGCTGGACTATACCATATCTATCACAAATACCTTTCTAGTCTTTCTTTATTAGGAAAAAAAAATCCAAAGTGCCTGACACGACTACTAAAACAAACAAATAACAGAAATTAATCCAGAATGAGGAAAACTCTGCTGCTTTGGTAATAAAGGGGTATATATATTACCAGTGCCCCACAAAGGAGAGCTGCTGCATCTTCAATGAGCCACAGGATGCTAGGTCATGTACTGCTGTTATAAATATTCACCAGAAGAATCTGTGTTTGAATAGCTTCATATATTTGTGTTTGTGTCTGTGTGCATGGGTACAGCTCTGTTGTGCTGCATGGAAGCCTTTGCTAAGTAAATGCAAAACTATATTACTGTGACCCTTGTCCTTTTCAGTCCAACTTTTCTACTGTTTTACATCCCTCTGTCTCATGCCTTAAGACTTGTTAGACCATGCAATTTCTGATCTCTCTTTCAGACCAGTATAATTCTAATTTTCAGTACAGCTTCTTCACTACAGATTCTAAAAAGCAAGCTATATGGGCTTACTTTGAAATACTTCAAATACCATTACAGAAAAATGCAACAAAAAGGAATAATTTCAAGATCTCACAGTGCAGGACAAGAGTACGCCTTCCAGGAGCTTCATGTATGCAAGGAGATTTGAGCTGTTGTGTATTGCTTAGATTTACTGTGCAGGCACCAACGCCTGAAACCTGGGGGGAAGGAGGGAGAAAAGGCTTAAGTAGCCTTTCCAAAACTAGATACCATTTTTATTTAACCTATCTTGCATATTCTCTCTTATAACAATCTGAAACTGTGCAAGTACTCTAAATACTCTGAGTAACACTTGAGACCCATCCAAACACGCTTCAGTAAGTATCTCTGACTTTTTATCAGAATAAACATCATATTCTTCAACATGAAAAATCTAGCTTGTTGATCATAGAATCTTTGGGTTGGAAGGGACCTTTTAAGGTCACCTAGTCCAACCCCCCTGCAGCGAGCAGGGACATCTTCAACTAGATGTATGGTTTGAAAACAGGAATAGAAGAGAGGAAGGCCTTCAGGCTTAAAAATAAACTCACATTTGAGCAGAGACTATAACATGGCATTTCAGTTCATCAGATGAAACATTTAATGAGGTTTACCAAGTTTACTTTCATGCAACCACAGATCAACACTATTCTTTAGGTAACAGGTGCCTTGAAGACTCAACAATCACACTGGAAGTTTTCATGAAAAGTCATGGAAAACATTACACAGTGAAATTCTCTTGCACCAAGGACTTGAGTACAAACTCCTTTACTTTTCCTATTATCATCCTGAAAATTTATATCTAAAGGTATTTGTATCTAAAGGTGCAGATACTAACATTTTAACATCGACTCATGATCAGTTTTTAGCCATTACATTTTAAAAAGAAAGAAATAACTTCATGAAGTATTATGAAGTAGTAAGCAAAATGTGGCAATCAAAGCAATATCGATCCAGTTGTCATGGAAAAATTCTGATTATTCAAGTATACTTACTTTCCCTTTTTAACTGTATGTCTTCCAAACCGCAGATCAAGTATGGGATCAATAGATTCACCCATGTGTTTGATTAGTACAGTCTCTCCACAGGCCAAAGCTCTTTTCTTCAGAAAACTTAACATGAAAAATAAAAACCCAAACCCTCAAATATTAGATAAATGCTGGTCATAGTAAGATTTCTTTCGTACAATAGAATTGGAGAAGTTTTTCTAAAAGAAGCCTCATTAAACCATGCAAAAGTGTTCACAAATAATTTCCCAGTGGTTAAGAGCTCGGCAGTTTTGAGTTCAACTTTTTTACACCTACGCTCTTGCTATTCCTCCTATTAATCAAAAATATATTGCTGGGACTTTTCTTACAAGCAGATATGAGGATATAGACCCACTGAAGACATTGGAAATGACAGAGAAGTTGGGGGGGGCATTTATATATTTTAGCTTTTTTTATTTTTTTACTTACATGTTTTTGTGTTACAGCTTTTGGTATATCCTCATCTACACTATAAATGCCTTCTTGGAGGCATTGCATCTGAATGACTTGGAAGAACTCTGTTTCAACAGGCACTGAGAAGAAAGTAGATAATTGTGGAAGGATAAGTAAGACGACAATATAGCTTCATGCAGAAAGGTACTGCAGGGTACGAATGAAAATCACTATTATTTGTGAGGGTTGGGAAAAGAATTTAAAAAAAATCAGGGCAGGTGAGGGAATAGAGTTTGTTCAGAAAAGCACACCAGATAAATGATTGACACTTTGTTTAAAAATGAGGCATTACTGTGACCATTTACTGCACTGTGTAATTGTGTGTTGTATCTGGAATTCAGTAAAATAAACTCAGATAGCCCTTTAAAAAGGAGCAGTTAAATCTTATCTCGTTGTCTCCCTAAATCAAAGTAAACATGAGAAAAGATATGAACAGATCAATTACATGGAAGTGCTATCAATTTACATCTAATTCAGCAATAGTAATGAGAATTAAAAACATGTTTATCAGCAAAAGACTTGACAATTGGCTTTTGCCTTGAATGCCGTACATTGGATTGGGTCTCTCCCTCTGTAAGGTGCATGTGTTCTGCTGACTAAACGGTACAGCACAAGCACTGTCACATCATCAGGATTTGCACCTTACCTATTGAAAAAGTTACTTGCTCCTCACAAGAAGCGCACCTCAACTTCCACTTAATTTCCACCTCAACAGCTGAAAATAGCATAAAAAAGGTCCTCTTTCAAGCACTATTTTAAATGGAAAATGATGCTATGGATAAATAAGCAGCAGTGATGTAATATTTCAAGTCTTCAAGTAAGTGCATTCCAACAAACGCCAATCCCTTACAAAAATCAGGGGAACTTCAGGGCAGTAAACATGAGAGCCCATTCTTTGGCATGCACATACCCTTTCTGTCCTAGATGTACGACTTTCAGGTCAGCTCCATACGTATTCTTTATCCGTTTAATTCCCCGGTGTTTGGGATCTACCATCAGAGGCCAGCGCTCGCAGTTCGTTAGAACAGTGGCATTTTCTGCCGACATCCTATCACCGGCCAGTCCCTTGTTACTCCGCGCCGCAATCAGCTGTCGATGTGGCGATCGCGTCCAGACCCTCGTCACAGGAACAGGAACCTTTGAATCAGAGCGGAATATAAGCATCCAGCAAGACTACCAAGCAGCGAGACATGACTCGGTGCAATGCACAAGACAGCTGGGCTGACATAAATTAAGGCTTTCTAGGAAGAAAGATAAGGAGGATCCCTGCGGAGTTTCAGATGCAAAAGAATATACTAGGAAATGTGATGAGGAGCAGTTTATTACATTTATAACGGATTAAAAAAAAAAAAAGCGTTTCCATTTAAGACATTTACTTCATCAAAATATTTATAATCCTATAAAGTTAAAAAACCACCATGCATTCTAAATTTCAGCGTATATGGATTCTGATATTGCAAATTCAATGCTCATGTATGCTCTCGAGCAGGTATTTCTGGAACATAAATCAGCATTTATCCACACAGAAATTACAAAAACAGGATTCCCATGTTATCTCGTCAATACAGTTCAACAAGGTCAAAAGCCAGAGAACGGGACCATCTCCGGGGGCAGAGGCACCGGCTGTGGCATCGCTCCCGTCGGAGCGCCCGTCGGCTCAGAAGGAAGCCGTGGTCTCCACCCATGCTAGAGCAGCCACCGGCCAGCCGCGCTGGCTGGGCACTAACTTGTCGCAGGCATTGACGAGGAGATGAAACCGAAAAGAAATCAGCGCTTACCGAGCGGGTATGGGTGGGAAGGGAATGCCTAACGCACACAACAGAGTAAGAGAGAGGGAACAGTTGAGTTATTTGGGAAAAAAAAAAAGAGTGGCTAGTGGAAGCATAAAAGAAGAGCTATGCCAGATGCCCGGACTTAAATTTTTCCTTGCTGAAGCAAAGGGCAAACCCTCACCAACTCCTTCACGATATTATTCCAAGCTTCCTTGTTTGTGATTCCTGGACTGAATTCTAAACCCATAAATTAAAGGAAAGCACAGCATTATCAGTATTTACCCTGAAGTGTCTTCTATCCCATTCAGAAGTGTTCTAAAAACTTTTCCAACAAAATTTTACTCCTCCCTAGACATGTATAGTCCTTAGTGCTGGCTTGTAGACCGGAGATTCTTTTAAAAGTGCACACTGAAATAAAAAAGCGTGTAAATCTAGTGGTTATTTATAAAGAAAATCATTACATATATTTAAGTTAAGCCAAATTTGCACAGTTATTAGTATTAACAAGAATCTAATGCAGTTTCTGTGGCACAATGTCATAGTTACCATGTTGTTGCAAAATACATACCACCTTAAAATTGTTTAACCCCTGATTCTAATCACAGCGCCCAAAATAAACCTAACTTTTGATCACCTTGCTGAAAATACAAGCGCAAAAGGACCAACAGGCATACACTCTCTTCTGCAAGCCTGCAACATATTTATCTCCCACGTGTAACTCATTTATCTAAATACACCAGAAGATTGAAAATATGATTTGTTTTATCTCTGGACTGTAAGGCAGGCAATACGATAATTTCCATGAGCTGAAATACTTCCTTGTGGAAAACACTAGCGTTGGGGTATTATCAGGGTTGCTCATACAAATTTTCACACAATGCAAGAAAAATATTTTAATATATAGGTACATCTATTGTCCCCAAATCTGCACTAAAGTTCCACACGTCACATATTTCAGAGAATAAACTACATTAATCGCTACATTAATCGTGATATAGTGCTGTGATTTGTGGCACATGAGAAATAGGAAACAAGTAGGGAGAGGTGAGGAGCATTTGCAGCAGTAAGGAAGAAAGGAACAGTCCAAAGCTTCACAAGGAAGGATGGAGAAAGCTGTGCAGAGACAACTCGAAGGGTTAGAGCCTCTGTGCCTTTGCTGAGTACTGTCTCGGTTTCCTCCGTGTACAGAGAAATGGGGATTATCATAACTGCATGAGCTGAAAGCTAAGCGGAATAGGTTCCCCTATACAGCCTTATCATTTATATATTATATATTATATTTATATAATAGCATTTGCTGTTACACAGGACAAAGGACAGAATTTGGCATTGAGAATTGGAAAGGGAGGGGATTTGCTTTTGCCAGAGAGGACCTAACCTCTCTCCCATTCGGCTCCAAAGGTACCTGTAATCCGAGGAAAGTGTGCGTGTGTGCGTGTGCGCGTATCTATCGATCTATAGATACCTATACCAGAAAACAAATACCTGCAAAGAGCCGCTTTATTTAAATACAGATCTGTACTTCAAATTATTGAAAGACAGCAACTTTAACAAACCAGACTCTTCACTGGAGACTCCCATTTTGTACAGCAAATTTTACCTTTTGTGACTTTAGAAAAGGAACCCAGAAACGTTCCAGCAGTTCCTGGTGATAGTGTTTTGTGAAGGGTCCAAAGTAAAGACACAAACACTGCTCTTAATAAGACGTCACCACATAAAGTTTTCTTTAGTGCTTCAAGGTTTTCAATGGACTGGCACCAACACATGTTTTCAGACTGCAAAGCAAGATCAGAAAATGTTATCGCCTGGACAACTTGGAAGTGATGGAACATTTAATCTTCACATTAAAAACCAGAAGCACACAAAGGTACAACAGGAAAGGTACTCTGTCAGCAAGAGAGACGCTTCTAAGACTGCAAGGCTGGAAACAATCCCTACTTTCTGGTGGTGATTTGAAGCCTTTGAAGCTGAAAAAATAGGATGGAGGTCTTCATCGAGCATTCTATGTCTGACTTTTTTTCAGTAATTGGTGCATTTGTCTAGACCGGATGCAGTATGGCAGACACACGGCAATACTGGCAGCATCTGGCATACTACTGCCAGGTACAGGATGGCACTACTGCCTTGTGCAAAGCGCAATCATTTCCAGCAAGACTCAGAAAAGGCAAGGAAACAAGAATATTAGAAAAAAAAGTAATGAGGAAAGGAGAAAAAGCTGTTTCAGCCTCAACAAGGATGTGAGAGCTACTTTTTTCTCACGCTTTTTTCCAAGGAAAGGGGCAAGGCAGGAGAGTTGCAGGTTTTTTTCCTCTTATTTGCCTGGCTTGTTTTACCTACCAGCTACAGAAGTTTTACTGAGTTAAGAGCTGTAATGATTTGGAATTTTGACAGGAGGAAAGACAAGGTTGGTCAAACACACAGGTTGCCCAGAGAGCTTGTGGACTTCCCATCCTGGGGGATATTCAAAACACAACTGGACATGGCCCTGGGCAATCTGGTCTAACCAACCCAGTTTGAGCAAGGTGGGTGGACTAGATGATCTCAGAAGGTTCCTTCCAGCCTCAATGATTCTGTCAAAGTTTGTCTAGAAATTGTTTTCTTCATTGTTTTTTTTTTTTTTTTCCCACAGAGCACCCTGATTTCTGGAATCCTTTGTGCACTTTGCAGAGTCCATCTTAACCATGCTTACCCTGGGATATTTTGGATGAATAGTCAGGAATGGTCTCAGATATGATGATTTCTTATTAGTAGCTATATGGAAAGCTATTATTTTACTCCAGTTACGTTGTAAAGACAGCCCAGTGTCTATTTAAAATGTTGAAATGGTGATTAAAGAATTTCAGAGAAATGAAAGTCTCTTCTTTAAAGAAAGTTAATGTTTAAGATATGGATCAAATCATCATCTCCTTCTCAATCGGAATTTATGAGATGGTACAAAACCCAAACTAGCAGTATTTGGCACATTATACTTTGATTGCTCTGTGTATACAATTCCCAGCAAAGGAATTAATGTATGCATGAATGTATGCTCAAATAGTTTCAGCATGGAAAGGAAGGTAAAAATTGATCATCCATTAGAGTCATCTTCAAACTGATGTAAAACTGGAATTGACTGCCATAACCTTTCTTCCTTGTTTGTACTATTTGAAATACTCAGGATAAAATAAAAGTTGTTTCACAGTTTGTTCACTTGCGTAAGGGGAACCTCAGGAAACCCTTCTCCAGTGAGCAGAGGGGCTGAAGCAAAGAAAGGGCTGGCATGAAAGAAGAAAAGCACATTGCTTAACAACTTATAAGGACTGTCCTTTATCCACTATCTGTACAGACATTTATTTTTCAGAGCAATGACAGTAATCAAAACATATTTTTCCAGTCCCTTACATGATGTAATCAAAATCAATGAAAATCACCGAATAGCAAGTATCAATACTTCAAATAATATCAAGTAAAATGTTTGCATTTTGCTGGTGCTAGCTGCTTGAGAGCTTAGAAGAATATTCTTGGATGTGCTTATTCTTGAAAGCGTTAAAAATTTATAAAATCAACCTCAAATAACAACTCACTCTCATTTAAAAAATAAATTTCTATGTGTATAAAAACAAAGTAACAAACTGTTAGATTTTATATTCATGAAGTACTTGCCATCTGTATTTTTCAGAAAAATTTACTAAAATGGTTAAACTCCTATCCTGCAAAGACAGACACAGAACTCTGTGATAACAGAAGACTCAACCACTTTTGTTATAAAATAGGAATATAAAATATCCACTAAGAAAATGGAAGCATCTTTAATCAAAGTACCGTGCTTAGAAGAGTTAGCGTTTAAATGTTTCACAGTGTAAACGCAGGAACTCAGTGTGTGAAGGCCTCCTAAACCCCAGTTACATTCATAAGAGGTGCCCCACAATGACAAGTAAAGGACTGTTCCTGTTGAAAGCTCTAACAGCAATCTTTGCAATGTAGCAGTTTTGAAGTATTTTAGACATACATTTTTGCCTACAGTAGTCATTGGATTCTTCTTTAAGCCATTAACTGAAGGCAACAAGACAATAAATCCATTAATTTACAAAAGGGATTTTTGATTTATCCGTTCTCTCTTCTTCTTGTCACTGACTGGTAAGTCATAAACAATAAAGAGCACCCACCTCATTCTCCAAAATAGCTTTGAAATTTGAAGATTTACTAAACATAGAATGATTGTCTATTTAAATCTTCAGTAATTTTACCATACCACCCAAGCACCATAAATCACTAGTGACATTGGCTAACAAGGGTTTAAGAGTTGGAACATGCAGTGTAATAAATTTCCAGACAGTTAAAAATCACTATAATTTTATTCTAATGCATTATAGATTGCCTGTAATGTCATCCTGGCCGGGGTGACCCATTTCTAATTTTGAACAGCTGTTCAGCTCGGGAGTTAGTTAATGATTAAATATAAATTGCCTGATTTATTAGTCTGAATGGTTGAGCTTCCAGGTCAATGCTATATAGACAAAATCATCAGTCTTGATGCTTTTCAGAAGTTAACTGTCTCCTGTTCTAGTCAAAAAGAATTTATTCTTGGAGGAAAAGACTTGACGTTCTCAATTAATCCTTTCAAATATTTCCCCCTTTAACTTACACAATAAGATCACTAATAAAACCTTCAAATCCAAGACCTGGAGACTACCTGTGGTCAAAGGCCAGCGACTTCCACAGAGCTTCCAAAGCCTTGGCACATCTGCAGGGCCAGGCCAACAGTGACCACCTCAGGTGTCTTGGGGCAAACAAGTTTTCATATGCAGATAGTAACATCAACTTCACTGTGTTTCTACCAAAGGAAGGAGATTATTTTCACATTTTACATTTCTAGGCATATTAATTTCAGAATTGGGTATCAAAAATTGATCTGTTTTAATTGCACTGGGGTTTTTTTATTAGTTCTATACTTTTAAAATATTTTTTTTCCCAAACTGATTTAATCTTGATTTCTAGCCTCTAGTAAGAGATTTACAGAGACAAAGGTATTCATTCTCTGATCTTTGAAAGCAAGGTTACAGGGATTTTATGAAATTCACCTTAAAATATCTATTCAGGCTGCCTTGGGAACTCACAGAGTAGTGTAAATATGGTTTATAATTTTTATTTCCTGTCATTTACACTTATTTGTCAAAAAGCAATGGTTAAAATTCTAGATGATGAATTGAGACAGCACAATTTCTGTAAAGACCTAGGAAAGACTGCACAGCAATGCTGCGGCTGGCTTGAATGGTTACTGACTGTTAAATAGGCATGTGCTAGCTTTAACGATGTTTGTCTGCAAATAAAACTAATAACCACCCTGAAATATATATAATTTTAACATAAACACATTTCATTCTTATTTAAAAATTAATAGTTTCTGCAAAAGGAAAAAAACAAAGGCAAACAGCAAATATCTGATTGGTGCCTTCCACTTACTTGCCATGTAAAGGGCAACGGGGGCAGATGCAGGGCGACTCCATCCTGACCCAGAGGATTATTCGGTCTTTCTGCTCATTAACTAGAGGCTGCCCAAGCTGTCACAATGTGTTCACAGTTGTGTATAAATGTGGTGACTTAGTTATCGAGACTTCTGTCTAGCAAACATGCCAATATCAGTTATTCAGCAGTACATGATTTTTAGGAAATGCAATCGTGGCGCAGAACATTTTATTTCTCAGGATGTTATTAGGGCTTTATTTGTGGTTTGGGTTTTTTGTTTGTTTGTTTGTTTTGCCATTTAAATGATTTCTAATAAGGGTCATCTTGTTGTCTGTGCCCCCTCCCCCACTCTTCTTCTCCACACAATCCTCAAAAAATTAAGTTTTAACTCCATGCTCAACAAAACATTTCAAATATTTCAAAACTCATACTAGGATGAACATTCAGGCAAAATCTTCTTACCTCAAGTCCCTTCACCAACCTGTTGGCCAGCTCAATAGTTTTGTTTCGTTGGTTCACATCATCTTGACATCAGACTTTCTCGACAACTGTTTTCTAAAGTGAAGCTGTGAGCTTACACAGATGCTGCCCAGAACCTATTCAGAAAAGGGATGGGTAAATGTTATAGCTTAAAATTTGTTGGGTTTTTTGGTGTTTCTGGTTTTCTTTTTTTTTTTTTTTTAATTTTAAATAATATATTTTAATGACAATAATTGTAGACAGTACCTTTAAATCTGAAGGATACGAGCTTTAGAGGAAAGGTTTTGATGTACTCTCTGTTCTCTCTACAGCTGCATGTAAAACACATGTACACTAACAACAATTTAGAACAAAACCATCATTAGAATCCCTTACCAAATATCCCTTTAAATGGTGGAGATCAGGTGCCTGGAGATAGTAATAGGAGGAGAAATGTTTCTGTTTGATGACGCTGGCCTGTATTGCAATGGCTAGATCTGGAGGTCCCAGACAAGAGTTCAAGTTTCTTGTGCTAGATTCAGTAACAAACATCCTAGGACACTGTAATTATGTCCTATGCATGCTGAAGCATTTAAAATTGTAACAGAGAAAGGAAAAAAATGCAAGAACAGAATTATTATTTTCATTTTGTATATGAGCCTGGTGGCATAAGGGATCCAGCAATCTGCTCTTGGGCAGACAGGATGGTTTCACTAGTGGCAGAAAACAAGCAGATCTCCTGCATGCTGACCCACACCTTCACCAAAGATCTTTAACCACATCTTTATACACTGCCCTAAAGGCAGTGACATGTCCTCTCTCCACTTCCAGGGATTTTGTACTGAATGTACCTCAACTCAGCAGCAGCCACTGCCCACCCCCAGTGAACCCCTGCAAATTCCCTCTCTTAGACCTCTCAGAGCCTTCGTTTTCTTCAGTATCCACCACTCCCGCCGTGTAACTGGTAATTCGCTGAACTGCAGCATTTTCTCCAGATTCTCTTAACTGAGCAGGTAGAATGACATGGGATATAAAATTGTTTCTGCTAATGCCTACTTAACAGAACCAGCTGAAAGACACTTGGATGAGGAGCTATCTTGTCGTTGAAGATACAACACCCTGTCTTTCTGAAGAAGTCTAAGAAATACAGTAATAATCAGTCAAGAATAATTAGTCAACAAAACAAGGGGGAAAAAAATCACGAGTTTTTTCCGGTTGCAAAAATAAGAATTCCAAACTACTGCCTTTGTTCATGAAAAAGAACCAAAAAGAGGAACCACCCACAATGTGTTTATCTCAGTTTTCCCTTTCATCAGGAAGACAAACACTTACATTCTTTCTTACTCTGTCAGAAAAGAGAATCCTTTCCAGCGCAGCCAACTAAGAAGAACTAAAGAAAAGAAAGGTGTTAAAAAAGTCAGATAGTCAAGTGATAAAAGCTAAGAGATTAACACCTTGAAAAGTACTATTTTTACAAATAATCAGGTAAGGCAAAAATTGAATACAAAAACAGAGCTTGAAAGACCATTTTGAAAAAAGAAAAGGCAAGGCAAGACAACAGAGGTTGCAGCAGGCAAATTGCCTGAAACCTCCCTAGAGCAACTGCAGAACCAACAACAGTAAGTTTCACTGCAGAACAAAATTTTCTTATTTCAGGTTTAAGGAAGAACTGCAACAGGAGCAAGGAGCGCATACCTCCATGAAAACTCGGCGGTTTTGCAGGATCAGAGATTTAGCTCTCAGCTGCCAAGTTTAGCTCTTGAATTGGTGGTGTGTAATCATGAAATTTCAAAATAATATATAAATTAAAAATAAGAAATGAACTGGCGAAGGGTGAAAGATGAAACTGCAACTTAGAGCTTAGTAAAGAAGGTTGGCTTGATTTCTTAGGGATAATGAGGCAGCCAATCCACTTTTTAATAGTGGTGTATCTTAAATTGAGAGACTGATGAGCACCTCTGCTCATAAGGGCATCACATAGAGATGAGCTACAAGTAAAGTTTCATCAGTCTAGCATGCCAGACATAAGAAGAATGAATACAGAAATGGTTCTCTACTCTCTTTTTTTAAGAGAGGCTTATTTTTAGGCATCTCAAGTTTGCCTGCATGATAACGTAGATCTGACCACAGTTCAGGTACACTCATCCATCAAAGGCTCACATAGTAAAGATGGCAAGAACATTCTTCTGCAGTGAGACAAACAGTAAGGAATGCCCCAATATCTCTGTGGAGGTTTTTTTGGTACATAATATCATAATAATATCATTTTTTGGTACTTAATACCTTTATCAAAGTACTTCCTACCTCATGACTTTTGAACAGGAAAGGTGTCACTACAAAACGCAAGACACTACAAGACACAAAAGAAAGGATCAGTAGGCATCACCATCCACAGAGTATTCTTTATCATCTTTAAAACATTGTAAATGTTTAAAATTACATACTGTATTGTATTAGTACCAGACTGTATATATTTGACATTAAAAAAATTACTGTGACAGTATTCATTACAATATTGCCCATGTTTGACAAGAATTTAATTTCTCATTTAAAGATATATTCTGGAAGCCATGAAAAGTGAAAGGAGGTTAGTTTAACTGTGCTGTCTAGGCTGAAGATGTGTTATTGATTGCTAACAGCTGCACCAATTATCATCACCGAAAATTGCTGGCCACAAAAACTTCCATATGAAAAATATGTACAACTCTCCTTGTCTCTCTCTTTGCCAACAGAAAGTAGCTGAATTATGAGTCAGGGAGCACAGAACATCCATGAATGCAGGAGCAGAGTTCACTAACAATTTGTACTCTGCCTTCAAGTCTATTCTTTAGAAAATTGGATAGAGGAAGATGAGAAAGAGACAGGCAAATAAATGACCAGAAGGGAAAAGGGGTAGAAATGAACTGAAGGATAGGGGGCAAGTGAACATATGGATTGGTGCCTGGATAATGACAAGAAAAACTCTAATGACACTTTAAAGGCATTTAAAAGAGACAGAAGAGTAACTGCTTCATTGCTCTTACTTTGTTTAGCTCCAGAATGCAGAGGACTACTAAAGGCTAGCACTCAGAGATGACATACAAACTCGCTCTCTCTTTTGTGCTGCTTGATTTCATGCAGATTCAGATGAATTTGCGCTGGTGGAGTACCTTCTTCTTGTGGGATCTACATACTGGCCTTGTGCATACTTAAAAGAAATTTGGCTCTTCAGAAGATGACTTACAAGGCTGCACAGCACTTCTGCTACTCCTGAAGAAGGTGGTGGGTGAGGGGAAAACTCCCCACAGACTGGGGAAAGTTCTTCAGTCAGAAGGCAGCCCAGATAGAGAAATAGAAGAATGTCTATACATTAAGAGGGATCTTCCCTTAAACGTTGGAGGACTTCTTGTTTCTATGGACTATGGATGCATACAACTGAAGTAAGGAATAAGAGCTTTCTAGAGGCTGATGGGGTACAGAGGGTTATCAGCAGCTAAGGTAAATAAAATCTAGGCACTTGTCACTGAGAAGTGCCTGCATTGTTCATTTTTTTCCAGAAGAAATGAAAATTTGCCTCCTCTTTATACCCATTTCACAGACTCCCTTACACAGTGAATCACACCTTTAAAAGGCCTGACATGAGCCAGCTGGAACCGGTTGCAGAGGGCAGGGGTGCACGTTACAAAATACTGAATGCAAACATTAAATGAAGCAGATCAAGAAGTTTGGAAAAATGGAGCCGATGAAACTGCCAGATGTAAAACTCTCTGGAAAAGTGGAAGACAACTGGTTAATATTTATACAGCTTGTCACTATAACTCTAAAAATAGATGCCAGCAAAAAGTCAATGTTTCACTCTGAGTTTGCATCTTTTCATCACCTAATCCTGGTTAATGCTACTGCTGTACATAACAGTCCTCCCCATGGGGCATCATGCTGAGCATCATGTCCTTTAACATGTGGATTGATACAAGTTTCCAGATGAGGAACTCAAGCTGATTTTAAATGTAAGGTTGAACAGCACAGTTCAAGATCATTGAGTAGGGATGAAAATCTACAGTTATTCACTGTTGACCATGTTGTGCATGTTTAGAAGGAGAAGAAAGCTGAGCCCAGAAAGCTACGCAGACCTTCGGGGAAATGCCAGCTGTAACTATGGTTAAAACAAAACCAAGCAAAGTGGTGGATTTCATGGAATTAATGAGTGTAAATTCTGTTAAGAAGCAAAAGGGCAAAGACAGGAAAGGTTCCTGCTCTGTACCCAACAATCTGCCGAGCTCATTCCACCTACTGAACTTTACTATGAAATCAGCTTATCATCCTCTAACATTTCACAGGTAGGAAACTGGGCACTAATGATCAGAGAAAATGCATCCCTCAGCCTTACAATTTTCTATAGTTGAAATTTCTTGGATTAACATTTCATAAAGTGGGTGTCACACCCAACTTGTTATAATTTTGGAAACTTCCTTCTAAGATTCCTAGATTTTTTGAAGCTCTGGTGCATGCTAACTTGCTTTTTGTTTGGGTTTTGTTTTTTTTTTTCCTTCTAGTTGCCAGTCCTGAGGAAACTATCAATGGTTTTTACACACACACGTCTTCCTGTTATGCACTACACTTTTAGAGACACTTTGATCATTTCCAGTCTGCCACACAGCTATTAGAGAAGACATAAGTTAAACATGTAATTAAAACTAGGTAACTTCAATCACTTTCAAATCTTTTCTTTAAATAACATTTAAAATCCTCTCAATGAACAAGAAATTATATTCTTTCCTTTCTATGAGCACAATAGATACACAAATCATTGTTAGTCCAAGTGTATATAAGCTGAGGCACAATATACCCCGTTTGGATACAGCTTATGTATAGGTAAGCAGCTCGTAGAAATTAGTAACTTCAGTCACCTCACATATGGAGAAAAGTGTGACAAATTAGATGAGAATCTTACTGCTAGCTGGAATCTGCAAGACATTTGAAAGAATAGCATTTTGCACTGGCCTATGCGAAGAATTGCACTGTAACTGTAGCTTTTGAAGTTAAATATTTGGAGGCCACATAGTAGAATTTAAAAATTTAAAAGAATTTAAAAACGGTGACTGTACGTTCTTCTTGAGAGATGACATGCAACATGGGGCCCTCAAGAAGCAAACACAGAAATGTCCAAGAGGCCTTCAGAACAAAATTTTACCAATAATCCTCAATAATTAAATGATGGATTAACACATGAATTATGGAAGTATACATATTTTTTCAGTTTCTTTGTATATAAAAATTGAAAAATTGAATTGGTATCTTCAAACTTCTGGACTGAGTCACAGCTCAGTTACAAGAAACATGCCAAAAGCAAGTTTTCCCGAGTAAGATGTGTGCAGCATTTTTTACTATATCATTATAACACTCTCTTACTACGCACTGTTACAAATAATTTTACCATATATATATACAAACATACACACTGCATAGACAATCTTTCCTTTTTATTCTCATACTGGAGTTCATCTTGTAAAATATTACTGGATGAATTTCTGCTTTATTTTTGGAATCATGAGATGGTATAGGCTAGAAGGACCTTTGGAGGTCATCCAGTCCAACTCTCAGCTCCAGACCAGGGCTAACTTCAGTTTTCTCTGGACTGTCCCCAGTCAGCCCCAGGTCTTCTTCCCTAAACTACTAATGAATAAACAGTAATCAAGAAATATTCATGAACAGTCCAAATTTTTCATTCTAATATGTATTATTTTGCATTTATCAATGGTGAATTTCACCAGCTATAGTGTGCTCCATTCAACAACCTCATGAGCTCTGCAGCTTATTATTGCTCTGAGTAATACCTACTGGAAAATCAAAAATTACAGCTACAGCTCCTTAAAAAAGTTCATCAGGCTGACCAACTATGGCATGAATCAGTTATGAAAATAATAGTTTTACCTGGATCTTCCCGCCTTGTAAAAGGAAGACTGGTTGAACATGCAGTAAGGATTTTATAAAGCGATTAGGAAAAATATTCATATTAAATGACAATGTGACAACTGTTGGCCTAACACAGCAAACGGGTAGACTGCAGAGGGAACTGCAAGTTTGTGGTGCAGAATTCTTCCTACTAGGTACTGAGCATAGCTGAGAGAAAAAACTACTGCTGCTAACCAACTCCAGAAAAATTCATGAGGAGATGAAAGGGGAAGTAAAGAAATATAAAAAGACAGGACTGGATTCAAAGTTGGAGGCTTACTGAACTGCAAGATCACCTAAAACAGAAATAGTCTCACATTCATTACAAAAATTGCAAATGACTCCTGATAGAAGACTTTCACATAATCCTAGTAGTCTCTCATTACATATATTTGCTTTAGAGCCATCTTTCTACACAATAGTGAGACATGCAGAGATTTCTTTCAATATTCAAAGACTACAGGAGATTTTGATTATAGTCTATATAAGGATATCTTAAGCAGAACTGAATGCATCCTCAGGGGGTCTACTCTCCAACTAAAATTAATTTATATTTATCACTTTCATGGTTTTAGAATACAGCTAGAAATCAGACAGGCATTAAGCTTGAGTAGATTTCAACTAAAATTGATCCGTTTTTTGCTATTCTGTAATTAAATGATAACCTGCCATCAGACTAGGATGAATGGAGGAATCCTGCTGCCAGGTGCTCAAGGCAATCACAAGTGATAAGCTCTGTCTTACACTCCAGACAGCCAGACTCAGATGGACATTTCAAGTGAAATGTGTACATCTGGAGAAGAATACTTCCCAGCTGTTGCATAATAATGACAATTGAGAAGTCCTGGACAGCCACATCTTTTTTACCACTTTCTACTAAAAATAAATACATGCGTACGTTCTGTTAAGCACTGAATACTTCCTACTTTATCTGTCGTTGCTGTTACATCCTCCCCAGAACACTACGCTGAGCTTACCAAAATAATAAAAAACTTCAATAACACAAATTCCCCCCATCAGGGCTAGACAAGAGAGGAACTAATACATATATACCAAATTTAGTTTTACTGTATTGATGACAGGCACAGAGACCAGCTGCTGCAAAGGATTTTGTACAAACATAATTTGGGTTAAAATCTGCATGCTTCGAGTAATGTTCCTTGACGACTTGCACACAATTCTGAGGAATATGCTGCTTATCATAGCTGATTAAAACTTGTAAGAAGTCATCAACCTACAAAAAGAGAAGTTCTAATGCATCAATCCTTTTCCATTACGGAGAGTCGGAAGCTAACTCCTACTTTCTGCACAAACGCAAAACTGGAACCCTGCACTAGCTTATTGTTCTTGAAACATTATGCGGTAGAAAGCAAAAATATTATTTCCACCAAAAGCGTGAAGTATTCACCCTCACCAACACAATCTGTAATTTTATGATTCACTTGAGGAATTTGGCAGAGAGGGGATAAGTATAATGAAATGGTCTCCCTTTTACTTTTCAGCTATTTTTGCAGTTAATAAATCCCAGTGGCGCTCAGGCTGGCTTGAGTTTGCCACCAAAGGTACGCAGAAAAAAAACAATGCAGGGTCGTATCTTATGCTCCTAAATCCAAACCGTGAGAAAATGAAGTTGTGATTTAGTTTCTCTGGCTCTCATTTTTAACTGTTCTTTTCCTCTCTCATCTCAGATACTGTATGATGTCCCATTGTTCATTACCTTTCCCATAAGGATTTTGCAGCTTGCCAGCTTTGGTCTTTGGGCACTTTCCGTTTATACTCCAGTAAAACCATTACTGCAGCAAGAACATTGGTTATAGCCATTGTTGGGTTCGTGAAGGCCTTCAGTTCTGTAAGATTAACCTGAAAAAACATCAGAGGAACAGGTACAGAGTTGTGCAACAACGGTGGATTTGTTCTACATAAGCTTTCTGATTACCAGTATACAACTCTCAGCTCTTTGAAGACTATTACTAATTATTTTATGTGGTAAAAATACTCATAGTAAAAGAGGGTGGGTTTAGACTAGATATAAGGACAAAATTTTTCACGGTGAGGGTGGTGAAACACTGGCACAGGTTGCCCAGAGAGGTAGTAGATGCCCCATCCCTGGCAACATTCAAAGTCAGGTTGGATGAGGCTCTGAGCAACCTGCTCTAGTTGAAGATGTCCCTGCTCATTGCAGGGGGGTTGGACTAGATGGTCTTTGAAGGTCCCTTCCAACCCAAACCATTCTACGGTTCTATAATTCTAAGAGCTGGTGGGCCAGACCCTCAATGACAGCTGAGTTGTGCAGTGCCAGGGCTTCCATAAGGCGACCACTGCTCTCTTTAGTAAAGCTCCTATATATTGTCATTGCTCCAGAGAGAAAATTTGATATACGAAGTTTCTTTCTTCCCTGCTGCTCTGAATCGTGGAGCATCCCTGCATGTTGCTCTGCCCTTTTAAGGACAATAGCATGAGATAGGAGGTGGAAACCTACTGATTACCCCCTTTGTGGAGAAAACACACTGAGACTAAAAGTGATGAATAGGAAACAGAATAGCTTTGGATTGGTGTACCAGAAACGGGTTTTGTTTATACTTACGGACAAGCGTCTGTATCATCACAAAGAATCTTTATCTGAGTTATTATAACAACTGGATATTCTCCATCATCCTTCGCTGCTCAGTTTTGCAAACTGAAAAGTAAGAAACACGTACCGGTGCTCTATCTGCTAAAAATTGCTTATACTTGAAATATTCACTTTTCAAATTCTCTTCTTCACAGGCTGCTCTGATTCTGGCCTTGACAACTTTGCCTTCTTCTTATTATCAGGTTAAATATACGTGCAGTTAACCTGATTAAAAAAAAAATGTTTTACCTGTGGCTTATTAAAGAAAATACAGCACGTCCACACAATTTTGGTAGTGCTCACCAGGCTGATGGTGAAATTAATATGCGTCTCTCAAACACCAGTTCGCTGTTTGTAAGACTAAGCCTCTCAGGTTAATTAACTAACTATTGCTTAGCACAGCCTCCTCTCCTTCAGGACAATGAAGGACAACACACTACCACCACAATGTTGTGAGACGACTATGCAACAGCTTTATACAATTTCTGTTCATTTCTGTGTGACTAGAATAAACCACACACATTTTTCAAATGGGTACTGGATTTACAGTTTTTGTGTGATGCTCAATTCATTTCTTGCATAGGACACTACAGCACAAAATATTGCAAGTAACGCTTTCTTTGCCATCTTGATATCTAAGGACACAAAAGAGAGGTACAGCTGTAAGAAGGGTAACATATATTTATGTATAGTTTTTGTTCTTCTAGATAAGCTTTTAATATCTTTTGCTGAAAAATTGCTAATATGAAGACTGTCCTTCTAGTAGAATTACCTATGTACCAGACTGTGATCAAGCATGTCTGTATGGATGTGAAATATCACCTGTCTGTAAGAGTGCTTTTGAAAAAATGAGCCTGTAAGCTTGTGAAGACACATCAGATAGTGAATGCTCCTGGTTGCCAACAGAAACCTGGAGATCACTGTGTGATAAATACAAAAATTTAGAAGGACTCCTGTGTTTAGGGCTCTATATAATACTGTAGCATGCAAAGGTGAGAGATTTAGTAATGCAGAAGAGAAGACCAGGTAAGGTATCTGTACAAGAAAGCTGGGAGATATTAGGGTAGCCTGTTACTTCTGAGGAGTTATTGAAGGCAGGAGAGAACTCAATAGCTTATGCCATTTCAGTAGGTAAGCTGCAAGCATTTAATGATCTATGCTCAAATGTAGAAGATGGAGCTAAACAAGAGATGTATGGTGGAGAGAAAGCAAAGATTTTTCACTAAGATTTTGAGATCTATGACCTCTTTTTCCTCACTCCCCCATTTCTCCCCTTTAAAGGGCTCCCTTTTAGAAAATCAGAGAAAATACCAGGGAGCCAATGGTCAGTTCTAGTGACACACTGCAGGTTTCCTTAACCAGTAAAACATTCACTGCATTTTTGGGGTATAGGTAAATATATCAGAATTGTCAAACCAGCCTCCATCTTTTGGTAAAGTTGCCTTTTTTTTTTAATTCCTCAGTTCCAAGACTGAAACCATAGGCCTCAACAAGGAAGAGAACAGGAGAAAAGGAAATACCCTATATGAAAACACTGTACTTAACTTAATTTCAGCTTTGGAAATTAAACAGATACCAATCTAAGCAGATTTGTCAAAACTCTTATTTTAGCTTAACGGTGGCTTAGATCAGTGACTTTACATCAGCTAGCATCAGTTTTAAGTGAAATCTGAGTGCCTCCCCAACTTTCTGCAATGATTTAATTATCTGTTTAAAAGCTGGTTATGATTTCATTGGTGCAAATTTATCTGGCGGAGTAACCCTGCAGGGTGTTCTGTATCATCTGCAATTGCATATTTGGAAGATTATCATATAAATTTTTAAGGATACATTGCCTGGGGCTCAAGTCAGTTATATTTGGTTCATCTTTATACTTTGTACCTCACGCTCATCTCACAGGCTCATTTCGTGTCAGGTCTTGCTTAAACAAAGTCTAATTACAGCGAAAGAGGATATTACAGTGATCAAGATGTTAATACTTGGATCGAGCACTGTGCATTGGCAGTAACAGGCCTCTGTAAGAATTTAATATCCTTACAAAACGTGTTTCTACAGTTGTCGGGGGCACCTTCCACGTATACATTTATTACATGGGACCCACACAGACACTGTCCGTGGAAATAACAAAGATTAAAAATCAACATGCATTACATTACAAATGACAAGATACTAATAAAGTTAAGTATTTCCCCAATCTCTTGTGAAAGAAAAATGCAGAACCGAACCAGGGTAGCTTTTAGGATGAAATTCCCAAGATTCATCGATTTGCATCTTAGCCACAACATAATCTTTAAATTAAAAACTGCATATACAGTTGCAGATTTGGTTTGGTTTATATTTTCTCTAACATGGTTTGAGACCATGTTACTGAAATTAACTTAGAGCCAAAAGTTTAAAACAGCCAAGATGCTCCTTCTGTTACAGTTTTTAAAGATGTGACCAGGTGAACAAGTATTACATTTACAGCAAACAGTGCTTCTAACGTGACACTGTATTTTTGATTAAAACCAACAGCTAATTTAAGTCACACAAGTTGCATTATAGTTCTGTCTCTCTTTTTTCTTATGCTTAGTTATTCTTTGTTTCCTGATGCCCAATGAAAATATGGGACAAGATAATATTTTTAAGGGAGGAAAAATTAAACAGAGCAGGTTGCAGATAAGCCTTAGGAGAGTATTTCTCGAATCTGCTTCCCTGCACAAAGAGAAGGAGCTTTGCAACCCTGTCTCCAGCAGTTGAGTCCCCTTCACATCAATAACTTCTATGGCACAGAGCTCTTCGATGGTGGCTAAATTGGTAGAACAGCTGGAAGCAGCGTGCCCTTAGCCATCAGGCCACGACTAGAGTGGCTCAAATATACCATGTAAATAAAGAGTGCAGTTCAGCTGAGGGAGGCAAATCAAAACAGCTGGTCAGTCTGGATCCATCTTTACTCCTAATCCTCAGCTAGTGTCACAACTGCCCATATACTTACAGCATGTTTTTTTCCTTTGAAGGGGTGCGTCCCATTTTAAAACACAATGGCATATGCATCTTCATCTGTAACCCACTCTGGCTGGCGTCATTCAGAGCGCACAAATGGCCAGTAAATTGACTGCCCACTATCTTAAAGCCTTAGCAGTGTCACGTTCATAGTCAGACTCTCATTGATTACCACACAGATATGTAGCTCTGCTGCATTTATGGGGCACCCAGACTGACCCCACTTTTCCTGATGAGTCTGATCCAAAGTGATCTCCAGTCTTCACCTTTTCTTAGGTAATGCTTCACTCTAGCAATACTAAGGCAATACCTCCAAGATATTTACTGGCTTAATGTTGCAGAATGCAAAAAACCCATATAAACTCCAGTTTGAAATCTATAGACCAGGAAAGCCAAAATAATTTTTGAAAGGGTGACAAATTTTAATCAGTTATGAAGAGTATTCTCAAATTACTTAGATGGAAGATGTTTTCTCATTTGTTGATTTTTTTTTTTTGGTAACAAAAATTATAGAAGATAAATATTGAGCAACCATCATCAGACTTATGAAATAGTTTTAGATTAATGTAGCACAAAATGACACCTTCATTTCCAATGAAAACGTTTCAGAAGTGCAATAAAGCAAGGAACAGGGGACTATGGTAATCATTAGTGTCATGCTCTGAACTTCATCCCTGAAACAAAGTGGCCCAAAGATGTGATTATCCCACGATAATCACTCTGTGTGTTTCACCTAGTTGCTTAATGAAGTAATTAGAATTGTGTTAAGGGTCTGTTTTGATCATCCAAACCTGTCAGGAGCATATGGAACTAACACAGGAAAAGCACCACTGAAAAGTGGTTGGTAGGATGTTGAGCTGTGGGATCCAATTTGTGCAAGTTTAATTAATTGCACTATTTGGACTATAAACTTCATAACAATTTTTAAGTCTTATATAAGATGCGGATCAGCAAAAGGCTGAAGGCCATAATTAGCATAATCCAGAGAAATAAAAGGTCCTGATCCAGTCTTCACTTACGTCAGTGTCAAAAATCACTTTTCCTTCAGTAAAATCAGGATGAGACACAAGGTCATTAGAAAAGTATTAAATATCACCTAATAATAAGAAGTCTTTAAGAAACAAAACACAAGAGAATGAAAGACCATTTTGATTGCTCAGACAGCATACTCTTCCCTGTTGATCAGTATCCGAAAACTGTTTACAAAGTTCTTGGCAACTTGAAGTTTCCATAACTCAAAGTAAGGCATTAACAACTAGTATGAGTCAATTAAAAATTTCTCTCTGCAGTATTGATAAGTGACACAAGGTACGTCTTGTTTCATAGCAAAATGCCAGAGCTGAATAAGTCCTTCGGACATTGAAGGCAGAGGAACTTCAGTTTACAACGTTCCATACTGCTAGTGTTTTATTTCAAAAACCATGCTTGTAAGAGCAGATGAAAATTTTAGAATCCAGATGAAATTATGCGTTCCTATTCATTCTGTGGTGAGCACTAATGCATGTAAACTTCTGTGTTTCCAACACGGATGTTGATAACTGATGTTAATAGGCTGAACAGAGAGCAAAAAGAAGATTGAACACTGACGACAGATATTATTAGGAATGCTATTATAATCTTAAAATTCAAGGTTTGCACCTTGTAATATTGTGAGATACTGGAATGAACTTCTGTATCAATTGAGTTGTTCAATTTACCTAAAGCCTCAAAGCCTTTAGAAATCTGAAGTGCTGAGAGATGACTCTCTGACCTTTACTGTATTACAAACAGGTCTGATTCTCAAGATCCACATCCATTAAATGCTTGAATGAGCTCAGTATTTATTGTTCTTTCATCTCATTAAAACAGCTAAAAGGTTGGGAAAAGGCATAATGTAAAGAAAGGTCAAGTGGTAATCACGGTGTGAAATGCTGTTACATGTGTAAGTATAATAATTCTTTAGACTTTATGCTCCCTGGAGAGGAAGTAGTTCAAAACTGTTCACCTAAAAAGGTTTATTTTGTGCTAAATATAGCTCAATAGCACTAAATGGAGGAATTAGACTGACCTTTTGCTCCTCTGCATCTCCAATGGCCTTTTCTTGGCTCACTTTCTCAGTCTGAAACCCTATCTTAGCAATCAAAGCTTCAGCATCTTGATTTCTCAGTTGCAGTTCTGCCTCTTGAGAAGCAAGTCTGGATTTTAGATCTTCTACCTACAGGGAAAAAGGTAATGCATTATTCGAGAGCAAGGGTCATTAGGTATGGTTCTGGAAAGATTACTCCATATGAGCCCCAAAAAGCTGAACCGAAAACAAAATTTGTGTTTCTTAGTACTAGAAGTGCTGTCTTTTCCTTTTTCGTTTTGTCTCCATTTGGCACCTCCTTGTTTGTAGCTCACAGAATTTTGTTGACATAAAGAATTTAATAAGAACAGCCTAACTGCTCCCGCCAGGGACCCCACAGCTCCCCTGAGATGCTCAGATGTTTGAGCATCCGCTCAGCTGCTGAGGTTGTGTCTGTAACCCGGTGCCTCAGCGCTGCAGCCCTGCTGCAGCACCTAGCAAAGATGCAAATGTAAAAGCGAAAGGACATTATGGAAAATACTTAGTAATCACTCTGAGCAGATAATTCCAGCAGAGGTTTGCTGACAAGTTAAGACACACTCAGAGACTGATGAACAAGGACTACCTGTTAGTTTGCTGAAATAGCAATTTATTGCCTGCCAGGCAAGCAATCCATATCAAAATATCCAGCAACAATAGCTTTCCACATATAAAGGAATTGTTTCAAATACATGTTTGTTTTGTGGTTTGTTTTTTTTTTTACCCTATCCCTCCAAGCATTTTATCTGGCAGCTATTCATGATAGAAGGCTATATTTTAACCAGAGGGGACTCTTGTTAACCTGACCTGGACGGGGCGATAAGAGGAAGACAAATATTAGAGGGCTTAAACTTTCATCACCTGGAAGGTCTGGAGGGCTATTCTTCTTTGGTGGGCTCCTGAAATCTACAAAACCTACAAAATCTACCTTTTCAAAATTGGACCATTTTGAAATGATAAGACAAAGCTGTTATACTGAATTGTAACAGATGACTGTAAAGATCCCAAATCTCTCCACTCATTTTATTTTTCCATTTGTTTGAGCTGACATTTTTCTTCCTGAAAAAACCTAAATGGTGCTGCATTTGATATTCTTACGTAGAGCTCTGGAGTGCAGGACAAAAATGGCTCGGTGTTGAAGTACCTGGCTAGACAGGAGCTGTGGCTCTGTCTGCTAGCGCACCACGCAGCACTTGAAATTGTTAAATTACCTTTTGGACATCATCAAATTAGAATTCAGAGAAAAAGACGTTTTTAATCATTTACTAGCATGGGATGCCTTATTAAAAATAGGCTTTAAAAAAAGCAGTCAGCCTTTTCTGTTGACCGTTTATTTTTGCAGATCTTCAGCTGGAAAGGTGGGAATGAGCCAGCCAGCTCCCGTTATTAATCTCATGCCGTAGCACAAAGGTGCAACGTTATGCAAAGACTGCAACTGAGCATTTCATTTGCCGTTTGTTTATAAAAACATGCGGAGTTTTCAATAAAGAAATTGCTGGGTTACGGCTTGTCTTTAACATTTGCACAAGGGATTATGGAACACGTGTCAGAGGGGACGTGGGGGAAAGGCTTCAGAGCAGTTTCCCCTCCCTTCTGTCTTTGTGGACTGACCAGCCACAAAGGAACTGTAGGCAGAAGCACTGGCTGGGGGCTAAGTGGCACTACCCCCACAAGGAGGTGACAGTGGCTGAGGGAAAGGCTCCACACTTGTTCCTCTTGCCTTTGTTCCCCCTCAGCTGGTCACTGGCCATGCACAAAACCCCCATGTAGAGAACTGCATCTTCTCTCTCCATGGCCTGGCTTTTACTGTGGCACTTGCTTCCCTTCCCAACCCTTTACTGTAGCCCCACTACATTCCCCTTCCCTCCAGACTTTGTCCTTGCTCAAATGGATGGAGTCCTCTTTCCAAAGACAGATAAAGAGCCCAAAGAGCTTCTGTGTAAACCCCAGTTTCCAAAATCAGGTAATGAAACACAAAAATGCCATCCCACAACTAATCAGCTTAATGAAAATATGCTGCAATACCTTCATTTTATTAGCAATAAAACCATGATTATTTATAAAGAATGAAAGAAAAGGTTGTGACTTTCACAGTTTACCTGAAAAGCTGCTGCCTTCAGCTTCTGCGCGCCATTCACCAAGTGCTCCATGTGTCCCAACATCTCCTTGGTTTTTTTCTCTGGGAGGATCTTCTAAAGCATGATGTGCTCCAGAAAACCATTCAGAGCAGTGTAATTGTATGGTCTCTCATTATGATTGTATTTGGGACTCGGCATATTCACACTGGTGTGGGCATAAGCCATGAAATCGTAAATGAAGTCCTGGATGAGTGTCTGAACATACCCAAGGAACAAGAACAAATGTACACACAGGAGCAAAGAAATGTTTCAAAAATTAAGTATATCTATGTAAGTCAGAAAAGGTTACATTTCTAAGGATGGCTTGTTCACAAAACTATTCTTCAGTCTACCCCAAACATAATTTTGTTAGCATGTAAAAAACATTAAAGCAAAATGAGCCTTCCCCAACTTTTTTGCATATAAATTAATTAATTCTGCAGTGGCATTCATTAAGTCTTCATTACCACAGAAGCTCAGTGCTTCAACATACTTTTTTAAAATAAATGCTCCTAAAAGCTAAAAACAGAGATTAAATCAGTCACTATAATGCTATAAGCAGAATTAATACCACATGGATTTTCTACTTCACCTCTGGAAATCCTGTTTAGTAAAAATCCTGTATAAGTTAAAGAAATACAGCAGAGTGGCTGCTCTAATCACATTGATCTCCACATACCTATATATATCACCAAATTCCTATTCAGAGTGAAGCACATTTATGCCATTAACTTTACATTGAGCAAAACCAGACTCCATGATTCAGAGTTTTGAAGTTGTACAAGTCCCTGCTTATCTGTGCGCGTCAAAGTCAGTGATAAACTAAGATAAACTGGTACGAGGGCAGGATTAGAGCACCGCGGAGTGCCCCTGAAAGCTGACTCTCTACCTACCACAAAATGTCAGAAAATCAGCAACATCTCTGTGCTGAAGAGATCTTCTATCAGTTTGAAAGGGTGTTTGACCAGAAAAGTCGTTGACACTCTTCCCTTCCCTAGATGCCACCCGGGCATCAAAGCACAAGGTGCACCTCCGGCTCTGAGCACACCTCGGCACGGCAGGAGGGACCCCGGGGTGGCCCTGTGGCCCCGGGGGGCTGCGCTGGGTGCCGCACAGCACTGCGCGGGGCTCCTCTCTCATCGCGGGGAGGAAAACGCAGCCGAGAGAGTGGAAAACCCTTTTCACATACTGTATAATAGCCAAAACAGGCTAGGCATATTTAAAACAGCTCCAGACGGTCATTTAGTCATGTATTTCCGAGCAAAACGCAGCGGTGAAATGCCTGTCTCTATTCACCTCTCACAGCAAGAAGAG